AGTGCGCTTTATTTCTTTCTCCATAACTACATGGAATGTTTTCTTGTTATTCCAACTTTGAGCTAAAACAAATCTTAATGAGAAAATCTGAATAAGCATCTACAGTAGATAAGTTTTCAAAACAGACTTCAAACAGACGAATGGAATCAGAAATCGAGATACAAGAGGAAAATTTAGAAAAGAACAAATTATAATAATTAAATAATTTAAAAAATATAATTATATTAAAATATTATTACAAATAATTTAAAAAATACAAATCCCAAAATTTTGACCAAAATAATTATTTAAAAAATCTAGCTTTCAAATAATAAATTAATAGCCCTTTAATTCCTGTCTTCATTCTAAAAATAACAGAGAACACTTATGTAACTAAACGAAAAAGATTCGGTATTTAATATGTATTGCGCACTCTTACCGATGAAATCTGAACCCAACACCTATACATTAAACTGTCATGTGATCTCAAATGGAATTCGGTATAAAAAGCTCAATTGCGTCGCAACTCTCTCTCTTCTGTCTTTTTTTCTTCTGCTTTCAGACGCTTGTGTCTCCTTGCCGCTATCCATGCAAAGTTTACTTTTCCAATTTTCATCCTTTAAGAAGATGTAAGCTGTATAAAATTGTGGGGTGCATAGCGCACCCACAGTGATGATGTGCATTATTATCCAGGAAATGAAATAATTCGTAAAATTTAGGCCGTGTCTGCAGGTTTTTTTTTTTTTTTTTTTTTTTTTTTTTTTTTTTTTTTTTTTTTTTTTTTTTTTTTTTTTTTTTTTTTTTTTTTTTTTTTTTTTTTTTTTTTTTTGCCTTCATCGTTCTCACGACGTAACAAAGTTTTCAAGTTATGACGCAGTCCTCTCCAACGCCAATCCGTTGCAACTTACTTCTATTAAGTCATCTTATTTCAATAATAACTCAAATTTATTATATATATATAGAGAGAGAGAAAGAGAAATATAAAAATAGGTTAAAAATCCAATTAAAATATTCAAACTAAAAACTTTTTTAAACACGTCCTGCGCTATAGCTTTGATATCGATATCATGTTAAACCTCTTATACACGATTGAAATTATTATATTATATAGTTTATTATATAGATGAATCGCCTTGCTTTTACTCCAATTTACTAATTAATTTAGATGCTTTAAGTTTATATATAGATATAGTTGTAACTATGCATATATTTATATGGTGAGAATTAAGCTGTGTAAAGATGATAGCAGCAATCGTGTTATACATTTACATTTTATTTCCTGACAAAATTTCTTTTCATCGATACATTTACAAGGACGCAATCCGAGAGCCAGCTCTTGAGTAGTATGCTGTTATCTTTTGTATTTTTTGTACCTGGAGAAAGAATGAGCAACAACAGATAGCAAATCAGTAGAAGAGAGAAGAGAGAAAGATATACTTATATGATTCTACGAAGATCTAGAGAGATTGATTCAGTTTCATTTCGATTAGTAGATTGCATAAAGTTTCAGTTCATAAAACTTATAATTATTATCAGCTGACGTATCTTGTAAGGTGCCTACGTCATTAGTGTTGTGTAAGAATAATAAGAGAAGAATTAATTTTGAAATAGAGCAGTTTAGGATGATGTATTGAAACAGTTGCTATTTTTAGGTTGGAAATGATCAATAAACAAAGTAAAAACAAGAGTTGAAGCGCTATTGCAAATTAAAATTCGTATTTTATCTTACCTAATTTTATTTTGCACAGACATCATAATATACACTATTACCATAAATGCAAATATCGCAAAATCAAAACTTTCAAGTCTTTAAAAGGAAATACTATAAGGTATTTCTACCACTTCCCTAGCGTGCCTCCGTGGTGTAACGGTAGCACGCTGGGCCGGTATTCCAGAAGGTCCGTTTCGATTGCCGGCGAAGGCGTTTGCTAAATTTTCATCTCTCCTGCTTTTCCAATTAACCTAATGTCTCTACAATACTATATAACAATAAAAAAAAATGTATAAAAATATGTTATTCAATCTAATTCAATTGTAAAAGTAAAACATCCTTCAAAAATTATTTTTGATTTGCTCTCATTTATAATAATATCAGATTTGAATGTCAATTAATTGAGATTACATCGTGAGTGCCCACATTACGTCAACATCAGTCGACAGGAGTCGTGCAGGAGCTAAAAAGGGCTTACAATGATGTCTTTAATAAGTTGTTTTCGTTTTTTAAACTTGGCACTGTTAGTTCTGATTTGACTGTTGAATTAAATCTAAATATATTTTTATTGAAAATTTCCTTCAGAAATGTTATGCATATTTCATTAAGTGCCAGGATGTTTCATTAAGTTTCAGGAAGTGTCAGGCTCAAAAGTCATAACGATGCCCATTGCTTAATAGATATAAGGCATTTGATTTCACTAAGCACATTGTTAGAAGAAGAGACCTCCACATCTTTGTCTTCATGGAGAGAGATGAAGGATGTTTCCAGAGTTTTTCAGCAATTTGTTTTACGAGGACATTATATCGCTTTATATTTTGATCCTCATTTAATATCTCCAGTGAATTTTTTCTCTGGACTGAAAGAAATACGTCTTCATTCAAAATGCTAAAGATACTTCCGGTACACCAGTGGCCGAGTGGGGAAGCCCCGGAACACTGATAGTTTGACCTGGCTTCGATTATAAACGAAAGGTCTGGTTGCGTGAACGTTTTCGTGGTTTTGTCCTTATTTACAGTAGATGCAATCCAATTTCCCTCAGATAATCCTCCACTAAAGCATCCCTTCTCCTTGGCAGATACTCTTCGAGTACTTTGACATTAACAATTAAACCATACTAAAGATAATTTCAGCCTGATTTCATGTTAAAAATTATGTATTATAAAAGCATTTCTTTAAACTACACGATCTTAAACTTTGAGATTCTTAAATTAGTTTGTATATTATAGTTTAGTCAAACTCTACGCTTACATCCTATAATTGTTTATATTCTATTCTATGGTTAACAAGGCTTAAAGTCTTATTAAAACAACCATTATATTCTATAGTTGATGATTTAAAAACCAAATATAGAAGTCTTAATACTTTGTGTGGTCGCCCTGCCGTGTCCGCTGCCTATTAAGCCGCTATTGTAGTTTATAATATAGAATATATCTTTTTATCCATGATTGTTGGATGAAGAGAATATATGAACTGTTTTCTATGAAGGGTTCTGTATTTCAAGTCCTTAAGGAGTAATGTTTGAAAAACAAGGCAAAGGTGGAATTATCTTAAATAAAACTTAATTGCAATAATTTATTTGAAACTATTTTTTTAATAGATTTCTTTTCCAACAAAAAATATTTTTCTCTATCGTAGAAGAAAAGAAGAATATATTTCAAAGTTAAGTTATTATTTCATAAGGATTTTTTTATCACCGCTTATATAATAAACATTTTTAATAATAGATAAAAATAACTTTGCTTAGCAATAGTGCCATATGTATTTTATATTCCATTAACAATAAGTAATATATATATTTGTAACCTTTCGTAGCAATAGAGTCATATGGAATTTATATTACATTAACAAACAGTAATATATATATATTTGCTTTTTTAATAAAAGTAGATTTTACTGATAAAATCCTTTACACCTTAAATACATCATCTACTATAGAATATAGTCGTTAAGAGGAGACGCCTAATGAATTTTCACTTAAGAATTCAAATACTATGTGGTAGGCCTTATGTAAATGTCTCACGTAATATTATTTTGTCTGCGTTAAGTCCTGCTAGGCATATTACAGAAAAGAAGGAAATTGTTTTATATACTTTCGAAATTAACCTAAATTAATATTATATAATTTCTTATAAGAAAATATTGAAGACAATAAAATTCGTACCTTTAAGTGTAGTATGAATCGTTTCTATTATGTAAATAGGAATATTATAAAACTTAAGAGAACACCACATATTAAAGCATAAATACTTTTCACTAGATGGCAGCACATAACAGAAAATTAAGATTAAAAGAGTGATACATAGTTTGGGTGAAAAACTTCAATAAAAAATTACAGCATTACATCAGGAGCAATGAAAAATTTCATTTTAACCAATGTAAGTTTCTCAGCTTAAAATAAAAATTAGTTGCTAATTTTTCAATAATAGTGATATTTTTACATCATGCAAAAGAAACTTGTTAATAAAAACGTAAATAAACACTATGGTTCGACATACCAAGCTTAGCTTTTCTCTGATAGGTTCAAGCCATATTTGAGCCAAAAAGACAATCATTTCCATTTCAATGTAAATGTGTATTTTATATTTATATTTTTTACTCCAGAAACACTTCTAGCATTTATCATTTTATGACCATCCTCGATATTTATAGTTTCTTTCTAAATAAATTTTTCCTTGCACCTCACAAGGCATCATGCTGTTGATTTATTATCAGCCTAAAATGGATGTTAGTTCCCTCGAAAAGGCATTTTGCGTTGAATCACTGTGAATAAGATAACACTATTTAAAATGTTGCCACCAAATATTATCGCCCTGTATTACATCTGCATGAATATATACATGTTTCGTTCACTGCAAAAAAACGACCGTACCTTGAAACATCAAATTTTGAATAACGTAGTCCTCCATCCGAACATGTTCACTCGAAAGCCCGAATTTTGAATTTCGAATTTGTTTTATTACATATTTCATATTTTGTAAAACTTCAACGAAATTTTGATTAACAAACTCAACGTTTTCAAAGCGAGCAATGACAACACTTTACGAAAAAAGAACATTTTTATCTCCGGCGCGCGAGACTGTGTATTGGCAAAAGATATGCTCATTTTAAAATTATTTTGCGATATTGTTGTTAAACTAAATTTTATGGTTTAAGTGCGAAGACATGATATTTAATAAATAAAGGTAACCCACAAAACGTTAAAAATACGCCCCTTTAGGCGTAATGTAAAATCTGAAAGCTTTCAAATTTTTACTTTCTCTATTATTACTATTTATTATCATTACATATATTACTACTGTAATTTCAGGAAAATCTGATGCGAGCCTTGTTACAACCGACATATCGGGAAGTCAGACAGATGCAACTCTTAGAGGCTTGAAGCCACGATCTACTTATAACATCCATGTAGTTGCAGAAAATGCCGTTGGAAGAAGTCCACCCAGTAAAGTTTTAACAGTAACTACAGATGATGAAGGTTAACAGTATTTTCTTATGCTAATTATTTCCTTTTCTCAATTCCTTTTGTATATTGATTCCGCTGATCTGTTTCATTAAAAGTTTATATTAGTTCCCAAGTAGCAGCATTCAATACAATATATAAGTTATATAAAATACATTTTAAATTTCTGCGTCGAAGCCGTCTAAACCTTTTCAATCCCACTCACCAGAACTTTTAATATGTAATAACTTTATACTTTTAGACGCAAATTGATTTAGATGAAAAAATTTATTTACGCTTATGTGTTTCGGAAAATTTTAGTAAAAAGACAACAACAACAAAAAGATACAAAGATAAGAAAATAGAAGAAAAATGTTTAATATTGGATTTACTTTAAGAAGCTTTACAGATTCACACATTTTTTTTCCTCCTAAAAAATCTCAAAGTTATCTATATATTATTTTGCATAAGTTTATGATGTTAAGCTTTATACTTTTTAAAAACTGTTATGAATTAAAAGCAAATTTATCTGTATCTTCGTAAATATTATGTAAATAAAAGACGAATTCTTTTATTTTTTTCAATACTTTAAGTGTTTGTTCTGTTTTCATAGCATTATCGTTTAATTCATTGTTAGTTTTAAATTTGTTTAATGGAAAATATCTTCTTTAACATAAGTCAAAACGGCTTTATTATCATAATTTTTCTTTCTTTTTTTTCTTTCTTTTTTTCTCTATTTACATGAAAACCTTTGATATTTCTAAATAACAGTGAAGCCCCTGTTTATATCGTAGATATTTATTAAAACGCTTGTTATGAAAATAACAAATTGTTATCGCGTTTTGAAAAGTAAGTTAAAATACCAAATATTTATCTTCTTATCTTGTAGTTCCAAGAACTCCACCTTTGCAAGTTAGAGTTGTGCCAATCAGCTCAAATTCTCTTCGAGTCTATTGGTTGGTAAGTATCATATAGATAAAAGTGAGCTGTTAATAAATTTACAAATATTGCTCATAAATTCTAATAATATTTAAGACAGTGCTATTCGAATTATAAAAGGTTTGGTTTTCAAACATTTTGTCTCCGGCAGATGGCACCACTATATTCTCCGGAACCCCTTGAAGTTTAGCTTTCCGTTCATAGATGGCAGCACTAAACTTTATTTCTCCGCTGCTTTCAATTGTAACTGCGTTTAGTTCTACGTTAGTAAACAGGCTTCTAACTGAATGGAGTAAGACTTGGACAAGCCACCGAATAATTCATACTCATTTTATATAAAACGGCTGTTAAATTAAAAATTTAATGCAAATTTAAAATTTTGCAACTGTTCCCCTATAGTATCAAAAATAAATATGAAATTTATGAATAATAATTCATTTTGATTTCCATTATATTTGATAACATTTAAGAATGGAAATGAGAAACAGAAAAAATTTTGATGTCTTAAAAAGAATTAATTAATTTTATAACTAAGAAAATTTTCCTTAATTACAAAATAAAAAAGTAATTTTTTTGAAATTTTAATATGGAGTCGGATTTTCTATTAAATTACATTTATCTAACGATATTTAATCTTTAGGAACATTTAACATAAACGATATTTATAATTTATGGTAGAGGAATATATCTGTAAAATTTGCATTTCATTTAAATAACAATGCCTTAAATTCACACATTCATTTCGAAAAGAAATAAGACATTCAGTTTGTATTTGATATAAAGTAATATCCCCATATCCGCGGATAATAACAAACATTATATATTTCTTGTAACATACATAAATGTGATCAAATATGATTGATAAATTATATTCTAAAAAGCAATAGCAATATTTAATCATGTAAGCTGTATACTACACTGCATTATGTATTATATTTAAAAGATAATAATACAAAATATACCGGATGCTACGTTCTCTCTCTCATATATATGAAAATCTAAAACTAAAGTATTCATATATTTTAACTTAAAACCTTCAAACTGTGAACGAGAAACTATAACAAAAAATTCTATGCTATAGAGTATAATACAATATTAAAGATAAAAAAAAAAAAAAAGTGTGCTGTAGAGTACGATACAATATTAAGGAATAAGGAAAACAAAAGTAAGATTTGCATGTTATCCGAATTTGAGACAGATTTGCATATCAAAGCAGTTTTCCAGTTCAGAACTCCATTATACCTTCAGTAAAGGTAATGTTAATTATAAAAATAACATAACATTTATGTAAAATATTTAAATATGTAGTTATATTTAATAGAATAGTTATTTTTAATAGAAGTGAATGGATTGTTAGTTACTATTGTTTCCACATCGCTTCTAAATGTATCACAATTACAAATAAAATTATAATATAAGGATGTTAAAATACAACCTACCCATCAATTTAGATTAATAAATAATTTAAATATGCAGTAAAGAAAGGCATTCCTCATTAAATAGTGTTGAAAATTTATCCTGCAATTTTAATAATTATATTAATATTTTTTCTTGACGACTTCGACCATTTTCTGCACTTGTTTATCTAAATAATATGTTTTAAGTACCGAAATGATAGTTATTCTTTTGAATGTTACTATTAATACTATTATATTGTATTTTGAAACATTAGGGACTTTGTGTATAATATATTAAATACTAGCGGAAGTATCCGATACCAATTAAGTTTGATTGAGAGTAATGTATTTAACAGGAGAGAGAGAGATACCGCTGTAATCTTCTTTAATAACGATGCAAAAAGTACAATTCATAGTCATACATTTTTCAATCTGCTGCAATATGGGGCCCACATAAAACATTTCTATAGGAAAAATAAACTAATTCTCTCTCATTATGTCAGTAACAATGGCACGCAGATTTTAATGATTTTCGTTTTTTCTAATCAAATGATCGTAAAAGCTCAAATTCCATCCAATAGTTCACCTATATTCAATTTAAGTCGATTAACTCTTTCGCATCGAAGTCGCCCGTAACGCCCGTTCATTCAGGCAACGGCAAACCGCCCTAACGCCTCGTTTATTTTCTACCTAGTTCTTTCCCCTCCACGTTAGTGTATGGCTCATTGGTTTCGCGAGTTGTTAAAGACATGTCAATCATTCTTTTTGAAGCAAATAAAGGAGAAATACGGAAAGCTATTGACGTTCGCAAGTGCAATCCGGCCCCAAGGTGAAACTGCATACAATGGATGAAACCGCAGGGGGAATAGAAAACTATTCCAAGACAAATTCGTAAACACGGGCGTTTTCGATGTTTGTTGAAATCAGATTTGGTCGTCTCTCGATGCGAAAGAGTTAAATGTGCGCAAAAAAATTATCATAGTTCGTCAAAAAAACATTAACGCGAACAGACAAACACACAAACAGACATTCTTCTTTACTTATATAGATTTTGTAAAACTTACAAATTTGTGATTAGCAAACTCTACGATTTGAAAGCGAGCAGTATTTGTGATTAACAAATTTTACAATTTGAAAGCTTAGCAACGCTTTTCGAAATAAAGCATTTTTATCTCCTACGCGGCAGAATGTTGCCACTCTGAAACATGAGTGCGAAAATTCGTGTTTTCAGAGCTTTTGAATAATATCTCGGCTTTTAAAGTTTTACAAAGATGGGAGTAGTCGAAATGGCTTCTCACGAATTTTTGGAATCTGGAATAATGTATTTAATGTTTGGCGATTCTATTTTTATTTTATTGTAAAAAATAGGAATTTTTTGTTAACAGACTCTACGATTTGAAAGCGAGCAGTGGCAACACTTTTTCAAAATTAAGCAACATTTTATCTCCAGCGTACGGGACTGTTGCCACTCGGAGAAATGAGGGCGAAAATTAGCGTTTTCAGTGTTTTTAATTAATATCTCTGATTTTAACTACTTTTTGGGTAAAAAGTAGATGTCGACCCTTTCCAGGACCCAAAGGAATTGTAGAAAGTTTGGTGACGATAGCTATATTAGTCCTGAGTTAATAGCGAACAGACACACAGAGACATTCTTCTTTATATAGAGATAGATAACTTACTTTTTTAAGCGCTCTACAAAGATTGCAGAGGAATATTTTGCACATCTTCATCCATTTACCATAGTTATGCTAATTTGCTATTTGAAATAAAATCTGAGAAAGGAAAAGTTTGACATTTGAATTAAATGTTTTTAAATTTTAATACAGTTTATTAAAGTCATTGCATAATTAATTGAAGGCTAGAGTATTAAACATATTAAGGTCATTGCCAACATTAAAGTTTTTCAATTATGCGATGGTAATGTTGGTTCATGAGAAAATCCAATGATGAAAATATTGTGACAGAAATAAAAATGAGAAATACTGGCGTTGATGATTCTTCTCCTGACTAATGAAAATGTTGAGAAAATGCAAAGCATGGTGATGAACTTTCTACCACAGGTGATTCCAAGGCTGCTACGCATGCCATTAATATGCTTAGATTCGCACAAACTATATAACAAATGATGAAACCTCTCAGTTTTTTGCGTAGAAATATGGGTAAAGGCTCCTGAAATCTGCGTCGAACCAACAGAAAATTAGAGATTATTATTGCACTCAGAATTTAAGTAAATGTTAAAGGTAAATTTGTCAATATTTTGTATTATCCATTTTTAGTGCTTTTATCTTTTAATGGATAAGATAATCTATTCATGATCATAGAAGTGTAATGTGAGGGAAAATCGAATCAAAACATTTATGCCAAATAACTTAGTTGCCTTGAACTAAAAAGCATCAGCTTTGTATAATAAACTTTATTGTTATTCTAAAAGATGAAATATTTAAGAGAAAAATTGCCTGCAGCGCAGTGCGGCTAAGAACGTTATTCTACTGAAACATAAACATGAACAACTGTTGCCACTCACACAAACGTAATAGTAAATAAAGCACGTTGCCAGTAACAAGATTATTGCAAAAATCATAACATAAAATTAAGCAGTGAGGAAATAAAATATACAAAGAAAAAAAGAAATGCAAATATTAAATATGCATCCAACATTAACTCCCACCCTTGCCATTGCATTAACAATAGATCATTCCCGATGCAATGGCAATGGTAAAAGTTTTACTATAGGTCTTTTAAAATAACCATTAACAGTTTTTACTGTAACAACTCTAACATTGCCATCCTTTCCTGGATGGATTTCAACAATGCGACCTAAAGGCCAAACACCAGGAGGCATGTTGTCCTCCTTAATTAATACAATATCACCTACAGACAAATTTGGAAGTTGTTGCTTCCATTTGTATCTTTGTTGTAAGGAATTTAAATACTCCTTATAATATCTCTTCCAAAAGCCTTGTTTCATTTGCTGTAATAATTCCCATCGTTTTAATAAAGTGGGTTTGGGAATATTAGAAAAATCCTGTTCTGGGATGCTAGTAATAACATCCCCAGTTAAAAAATGTGATGGAGTCAAAGCATCTAAATTACCTACATCATTGTGATTAGTTTTAGATAAGGGGCGTGAATTTAACACAGCTTCAATTTGAGTTAGTAAAGTAGTTAATTCTTCAAATGTTAACTTTGTCTCTCCTATCATTCTTTTCAAATGAAATTTTATGGACTTGATCCCTGATTCCCACAAACCACCAAAGTGGGGAGAAGCAGGGTGGAATCATTTTCCATTCCATAGTATTTTCAGCCAAATAATTTAAAATCAATTCATTGCTGTTAAGTGAAAGTAGCAGAGTTTGCAATTCGGACAATTTTCTTTTTGCGCCAACAAAGTTCGTACCATTATCCGAAAATAAGTATCGAGGTGTACCACGCCTCGATACAAATCGCCTAAGAGCAGCAATGAAAGAATCTGCAGTTAAGTCGCTAACTACCTCAATATGGTAAGCTTTGGTAGCTAGACATACAAACAAAGCTATATAACCTTTAGTGGTCTTAAAGCAACGACCTTTGTAACATTTCAAAATTACAGGACCGGCATAATCAATACCTGTGCTAAAAATGGTC